ATGTGTGTGTGTGTGTGTGTGTGTGTGTGTGTGTGTGTGTGTGTGTGTGTGTGTGAGAACATGAGCAAAACAAATGTAAAATGTATGTTTCGTAAATCCCAGAATATTAAAAGCATCTGCGCTGCATTCTGCATTACATTTGTTTGGCTAGAATAGATTTCTGTTCTCTGTTTATTTTATTGTGTATATGATACTGTACTTAAAAATGAGTTTGTTTGTGGTCATGAAAGTGAAACATGCACTATGATAAGAGCAGAGGCCAAAACTGATGCTCGGCAAGTCCAAAGCAAGCAAAGCAATTTTGGTCTTTCTGAAATTACACAATGTCCCAAAGCATTGTAGCTGTTTGTGATGTACTCAAATGTGCTCCCATCACAAGCAAAGTACAAACCTACAGTAAACTGTATATTATACTAATTTGGATGCAGCTCATTTGGAAATCTGGATTTTGGCAGTTCCAATTCACACGTAGCACAGAAAGCAAAAACAGCCAATGGGAAAAGAGTCTGAGTAAGAGGTTTGGAGCACTATGTTAGCAATACATCAATATATCTTTTGAGGTAAGTATTGTTTATTCCAGTTCTCCTACAATTGTAAATTTATGCAGTGAGGGTATTGCTAGTCACTGTAGGGAAAGGAAGGCTAGTGTTTATTTTTCTGCTGGTTGGTGTATGTTATAGATTTTTCTCTGGGCTTTGGCCAGCGTTCTGCTTTACTGTTGATTTAGAGTAACTAAAGAAAGAAGCTCTGACAGTCAGACAGGACTGTCTCAACTCCTGCTAAGAATGTGGATTCACTTCTATAGCATTTAATGGACAGGGTTTCACATATTTTAGCAAAGTTGGAGTACATCCAACTCCATGTCGAAAACAACACATAAGATAAAGGTTCAAGAGTTTATCCGGGGTTTTGAAGAGGTTAAATGATATATATATATATATATATATATATTTTAAATAATTTGGGTTTAACATTTTACAAAATAAGACGTAAATTTACAAAATTAGCTACAAGATTAGAGATTAAATTCTGGTTTTAATGGGTATTTCTATTTAAAGTTCCCATTGGAAATTTCGGTCAATTTAGGTACAACTTTACATTAGGTGTCTTTAATTACCATGTACTTATGTAAAAATAAATAAATACAAATAATAAAAAAAAACGTATAAAATGAATACATGAATGAATGTTAGGTACAATGTACCTATTGCGTTCCTGTTGAATTGCAAAACACAGTTACACTTTATTTTAAGGCATCCTTGTTACAGTGTAATTAATTATACAGTACATTTAAGTACTGAGTAATATTAATGTACTTACTATATGGTTAGAGTTTAGAATTAGGGTTTGGGTTAGGGTTGCGTGCATGTAATAATTAGGGGTGTAACGATCCATCGATATGGATCGATACATCGATCAAATGTCTAACGATACGATGTATCGATGCCACGCGTAAAATATCGATACCTGTAGTATAAATAGGCACCTTGTTTTGGCACTGTCCATATTTTCAAGCAGTGTCCATCTATGCATTACCGCCAATGTGTGCGTTCTCGTCCAAACTCATGTGTCAGGACTAGGGCTGGACAATAATTCAATATCAATATGTATCGCGATATAATATTTTTCAATAACGGTGATATGATTTTTAAACTAATTTCCGATATTTCGATATACATTACCAGTGTTTCCCATACACTGATTTATTTGTGGCATTTGACTTCCTTGAATAAACATGGGCACTACACGTTTCAAAATCAAAACGCGGCGCAGGTGTTTTATATGAATGTATCTCTGAAGGGACCCGCCTGTCTTCAGAAAAGTTTCGATGACATTTTCATTTTTATCTGATAAAGTAGCGTTCATGAGCGGAGCTGATTTGATTACAGCCGTTACTGGGGAAACAGCCAGTTTTATCACTCTAAAAGCGCCTCCTGCTGGCAGAGAATGAATTTGCATTTTCAATAATAAGCAACATTTCAAGTTTTTGTTGTTGTTCAATTTTTTATATATTTTTTTGTTTTCTGCAGCGACTCGGAGCACTTTTCATACCCCTTTTTTCTGGCTGAAACACATTTGTGTCAATCTATAAGAATAATCAGCCTACACTACGAGACAAAAGTTTTTGAACTTTTTAA